TCACTTCAGTCAATAAACCAACCAGAGACAGTTTTAGCAGTTGCAACAACCATTTTTCACTAACTCTATTCTCTTCTCACTGTTCCAGAGTAACATTGTCTGGTTTTGTGACAGAATCCACTAGTATTGAGTTGTTGATTTATGTTTATCGACTATTAGTCATATTGATTTAGTCATGCTATTTGTACTCTCAATAATTGTGTTAATACTAGGGGAACATTCAACCCGAAAAACCAAATGCAAACTCGTAGTTTTTACTCTGGCCCATGAAGCATCACAGGTGTGTGATAGGGTGCATCCCTGCTGCTTTCCCAGACAACAAAAATGTAAAAAGCTGACTGATAAAAACGATTTGTTCTTGGTAATGTGGGTAAGTTGTAAAAGGCATGAGAGTGCTTCCACAGCATGTTCGGGCATGTTTTCGCCACTAAAGGATCGTCTATTCCCCCAAAGGTTTCCTCCTGATGCTTCAAATGTGCTTCGGTTGTGCATAGTCCATTGGTTTGTCCAACCAGAAATTACATAGTTTCTCTGGATAACACTGCTGATGTAACAGATGGCTACCAACTTCTAATAAGCTGGTTTCATCACACAAAATATCAATAAAATAATAATGCATATGCAAAATGTGCGACAAAATATTCATTTGAAATCTTGAAAAAAAATAAAATTTTGTTCAATCGTAGGACAGAAATGGCACTGATTCCAAACTTTACAATACGTTACAATTCTTATAAAAAAACTGAGCGAAAATACATAATAGAATCCCGCCTTTTTCCTGAGCATTTATCAAAAAAGTGCTTTCTAGAAGGATGTAAGTTTTTTGAAACTTCTGCCATCGGGACGCTTTGAATAACCTTTACATACATATTGGTTATTAAATGTTATATAATTGGGGAAAAAGTTTGAGTACTGTCAAATGTTTAATTAGTTTGAATTAATATTTCTCTGTATAAGATAAGTATTGCTTTTTGTAGTAATATAATTATTCATTAGCCGTTCATAATAAATGCCAAAATTAAAGCATGGCATGTTATACCATAGACTATTACAAGATTATTTTATAGACCATATATTCTATATACAATTAACTTACCATCCTGAATATGCCCATAAACCTGAATACATCGCCAATGCAATGTCTCCAGGAGATGTGGTACTCCCTTCAAAACTTTTTTCAAAGTTTGTTGTGTGGCCTGTACATAGAAAATTAAAAGATATTGAAGCAGTTGATCTGATGGCAAATTTTCTTCTTCCGAGTTAGATTAACCTCCTGAATATAATGTACTAATATACTAAGTTCAATATAATCTGACACAGTGCAGTTCACTGGTCAGACTGGTTAGTTGCAAACATTAGGTGTTTTTGTTACACCTCCCCATTGCTGTTTAATTGACTTGTTATTAAATTAAGAATTGGCCAGAATCTTAAATATCTTAAAATCCCAGACCTCAGATTTCTGTTCAGGGATTGTCCTGAATCACACGAAACTTCAAATCATCCCCTGTGATTCTGCTTGTACTTTTAACTACTAAAACAATGTTTCACACAACATCTTTCAGTATTTAATCAAAAACATTGTATAAACTTATGAATACTTATTTGGTTTGATGAGTGAGTAATGCTGTGCGTATTTTATATAACACCTTAATGTAGACAAACTCTGGCAGATATTCACAACAGAGAAATTAGTCCTGTTGTGCATATTAATTATTTTAAAGAGGGCGGTTGCACTTTTTTATATTTAATTATTGTTTCTTTCAACAAGTCAACCAAGTCCCTAAACTATCAAGTTTATAATTGTCAACAGTGTAAAACAAAAATATAGCAGTATATAAGTATGGAAATATATCGGATTACATATGACTCGTCTATGACTGTGCTAGTTTTGAATCTTCCCACATTATATTAGTCATAAACAATCACCAAGGTATGTCATGTCATGCAATTATGTCTAAAAA